CCTGCACCCCTCTGTGCCAGAAAGGAGGAGAGTTGGGGGAACGAAGGCCCTGCCTGCTCTGCTCCTCCTCATTCCTGGGATTCCCTGTGGCTTGTATGGAGCGTCACCACCTCCCTTATGAAAACGGGACCCCGAATCCCCACGCTTATAACACGAAGATCTGCAGGCAGAGGCACAGGGGCCCGGGCAGCCCAGCCTGGCCCCTGGCTTGCACTGTGCTTGGCTGCTTCTCCCTCTCAGACCGTTGCTGCTGCCACCACGCTGGTCTACTCAGGAACAGCCTCTCCTTAGTGTGGAAGATGAAGGCTGGAGACTCGAACATAAATACATATTAAGGGAGAGAGAGGGGACGTAGCAGAGGGTGTGCAAAGACTGAAACATGTCTCTCGCGGCACAGGGTGCCCAGTGCTCCGCGACCTGTCAAATCTGTCCGCGAGTCTGAAAGAGTTTCCTGGAGTCCTGGAAGGTTAGCACGGCTTCCAGGCCCTGGCGTGGGTTCTGCATTGCTTCTCCCTGTCTGTCTGCATGTGGACCGTGGCAACATGAACATGCACCTCCCAAAACAACCTCTCGGTCAACTTGACCTTTGGGGTCAATACAGAGGGGAGAAGCTCCCCTGCACTGCTGACTTCCCAATCTTATCCTTCTGGTCGGAAGGCTAGAAAAGGCCTCTTCCCCAGGTGACAGGAGACAAGAAATGACTCCCTCTGAGGAAGCCCGCCCCATGCACCTAGACTCAGCAGAATAACATTGCACCCCAGGACTCCAGCATTGCTGCCATTCTACCAGGAGGGGCTGCAGAGGTCACCAGTCCCAGGTTCGCTGTGAAGCCCCACAGCTGACGTGGGAACCGGCTTGGCTGGCACCAGGATGGTGGAGGGCAGCACCCCTGAATGCACTCCGTACGGGGGGAAACACTCAACTTAATGGTCCACCCAGTTATCGTGTATTCTTATTTATGATGCTTTCAATAAAAATATCTTTAATTAGCAGGCTCACATAGGGCACACACAATGAGCCTGTCCTTCAACAAAAGCAATCACGCAAGAACGAAGGCCTCAGCCATTCCCAGGATCGGAGCCAGAGTCCCATCAGCCTGGGTCTCATTCAAGAGGGTGCTCGGGATTCAGGGCAATCAGGTGGGTGAGAGCCCAGGCTTCCAGGTCATAAGACCTAATACCACACCCTTCACATGTTAGCTGTGCAATTCTCCACAGGTCGGTTCACTCCTCTGTGCCTCGGTTTCCTCTGTGCAGCATGGGAATAATAATATCTTTTTTATAGGAAATCAAGATAAAATATGGTGACGACCTTAGCACAGTGTCCAGCATGTAGTATGTGCTCGATGGATGGCAGGTGCTGCCGGGGTGGGTGCAGAACCGGGCCATTCCAGGACCAGGGCCTTGATGGAGGAGAGGTCATGATGGGATGTGACAGGATAGCCAGGAAAGAAAGACAGGAGGGAAGAGGCCCCCTATGTCTGTTGAGGACATTGCTGTTCCTCTTTCTCCCTATAAAGGCCATCACTGTCTCTTTGGCAGGGTAGTAGGAAAACTGAATGAAGCATCTTCCCATCCTGCTGGGTTCCACATGGGTAGCCAACCCCGAAATCTTTCCACTTCCGGGCTGAGACCTGTCGGGTCCACAGAACTGAGAGGAGGAAGCTGCACCTGTCTGTCCCTCCTACGCAGTCACAGAGCAGGGAGGGTGGTTCTCTTATGGACCCTGAGCAAGTCCAAGCTTGGGTGTCCAACCAGTGGGACTTAGTGGAGTCCTCTCCTCCAGCTGATGGGAAGGATGTAGGTTTATCGCCCATTTAGCACGGTGATGGCAAACCTTAAACCTCCCCCTGCTATTCCCTAGCAGGTGGGCCCCTAGAGGGGCCAGATGTTTCTACAGATCACAGAGTTTTTGTAAGTTTATAGGTTTTAAAAGGCCAGGTTCTTTGGTGGTAAAAGTTTTACAGACCAGTAAAAATTTACTGCAGAAGATGGGAAATACAGCTGTAATGGAAAAGGCTGGCGCCGGGAGTCTAGAGGCTCTCAGCTCCGTTCATAACTACCTGTGGGAACTGAGGCATGTCCTGAAGGCTCTCTGGGCTCTGTGTTCTCACCTGGAAAATGGGAGCAAGAAAAATGCTATGGATGGATGTGTGGAAAGCTCTTGGCACATGTGTAAGTACAGACCTCCTTCCCAGGGTGCTGGGAGCAGCTAGACACAAAGGGAGGCCCCGGCCTGCGGCTCCTGCAGTCCTGAGCTTTTCATTTCCCACGCTGGATCTCTGCCATCTGCGTGTCTGCCTCTGCTCCCTGGGAGGAGCCCAGCCGTCTGCAACCAGAGCTCAGGAATCAAATTAGCCCTGCCTCTGCTTTTCCCTGATCCCCACCGGCCAAGGGGAGTTCATCACGGCCTTGAACTAATTCCTGTTTAAAAGGGGCAAAAGTGACTCCACAGTTTCATTGGAGGCAATTTACACCCCGCCACTGGCAACAACTCCAACTCCTCCCTGTTTGTTGTGCCATCAAATCCATTAATAGGAAATCTCTTCAGGGGAAACTTGATTGCTGCTCCATCAGAGGCACACAGGCAGTGCCCGTCCCAGGGAGGCTGCGGCCTGCCGGGCTCGCTCTAATCCTGTTACCCAAGTAGCTGATCTCTAATGCACACTCCGTGCCAAAGACGTCTTCTTCCTTCCCTAACACAATTGGCTCGTCCCAGAGGGCCCAGGAGCTCAGTGCAGAACAAGGGCTCAGGGTCCGTGGGACAGGGTGTCCAGGCGTGCGTGCTGCCCCAGATGGCTCTTGGCACGTGCCCTGGGGGCCGCTGCACTCCACAGCGAGGGAGCCCACTCTCCTCACGCCCAGGGTAGGGCGCAGCGGGCGCATCTGGCCACGCTGGGGCTCAGCCCCTCTCGCAGCTTTTGCCTCCCCCCAACTCTTCTCGACTTTTTCACACCTCCCTCCTCCTCCTCGGTTTCCTACCAGATTCCCGTCTTTTCTCATTTCCCTTTATCTTTTTCTTCTCCCCCTTCTCCTCTTCAGATCCATTTCCTATAGTTCTACCTCCTGTTCCTGAGCCCCTTTCCCTTCTGCTTTGGCACTGCCCCTTCCAGGACGGGTTCAGTGCCGATACCTCTTGCCTTTTATCCCTGCATGGCCGGCTCTGTGGAAGGGATGGGCCCCAGGCACGCTGGCCTTGGCCTGGAGCGAGATGGGGGAGCGCCTCCTGCATAGACCCAGGGGGGCATTTGGGGGCAGCGGTTACTGTGTGTGGGGGGGGAGTGGTTATGTGTCTGTTTGCTCTTTGATGATGAAACATCTATAATGAAACCCCAAGTGGGTTTGTTACTGCCATGTGAAGGGACCCCGTCAATGGATGGTATAATGCAGATTTCATCATGCAAACGAACAGAGGAGGAAGCCTTCTAGAATTCGCAGCCGATTTAGGGGCAACAGAGGTGAGTGAGCGTGAGCCCAAGAATTGTGTTCACCCCTCCGATGTTGGGCTCATGGCTGCGTTTAGGAATCCACAGGGCCCTTCTGAGAATGAGCCTCGTCGAGGCCTGAGCCTGCCTGGAGGCCCGCAGGCAGCCCCCGCTCTCCCTGCCCTGCCTTGTCCTGCTGTCCAGCCTGGAGTCTATGTACCTTCTTTCGGGGAAGGGTGTTTGGCTAAGTTCTCTAGGAGTTTGGGGCCTCCTGTTTTCTCCTTTCCTACCACTTCTCCTCATCTCCGTTTCCCCAAAAGGAATCCTTGGAGCTGGTTTCCCTTGTTTTTCTGGGTTGTGCAGTGAGGAAGCCCATGACCTAAAAGAAGGGCAGTCCAGGCTCCTTGAACTTGACTGACCATCCAAGGCCACCCCCTGGCTAATGGCCATGTGAAGGGGCCCCGGAGAAGGGTGTAATGCTACGTGCAGGCCTCACATGTGCATGAATAAGAGGGAAATCCAGGCAGAACCAAAAAGGACTTGCTTCTGGCCCTCGTGGGGGTTTTCTTAAATAAAATTCAGAAAGTGCTTTCTTCCTGCAATTGTTCTCAGCCCATTCTGCCCTTAAATTCAACTGAAAAGGAGTTAAAAGGAATGAAATGCCCTAGATTGAAGCCAGCATGACAGCACTCTGGTGCAGATGCATCTCACCTTGAAACGCTCCAAAGAGAAAAGTCATCTCCTCACATGGGGGGGGGCTCCTCCACATACAAACTTACAGCAAATTTGGTGTCACACAGTGGGTATATGAGGGAGAGCTACTTGTGTATTTAACTTATCAAAGCAAAAAGCAAACAGAAAAAAACAACACACACGCAAAAAATAGAAAGAAAAAACACTTCTTTCAAGAAAACCACATTTAAGAGAAAAGTGTTGTGACTGCCCATGAAGTGATAGTAAACAAAAAGTGGGGCAGGGCACAAAGTTATACGATGGTATATTTACTTCCTTGCATACATATCACAGAAGGAAATTATAGAGAATATACACCAAAATGTGAGCGGCGCCTGCCTCTGGGCTGTAAGTAAGCCTGTGGATGATTTCACTTTCTCTTCATTTTTTTCTACACTGAGCGTGTATTGCTATTATATTTTAACTATGCATATTTACTTTGTGTAATAAAGACACATAAAATAGTTATATAGTATAGAAAATAATTGTATAGTACAAATATATATTTCTTCTTGAATATTTAAATATGAATATTTAGATGAGAACAAAAGGGCAGACACCTGGTGACTCCAGGTCCCCTGTTTCTGTCTGCGGACATGCCCGGTCACCTGCTTAGCTAGGGGCCCTGTGTCACCCTGTCGAGCAGGAGAATGGTCCTCCAGCTCCTCCTGCCTCACCCCACCCAGCCCAGCCCAATGCTGGGAAACGTATTTACCGTGGCACATAAATGAAGGCAGCTGCCTGGAGCCCCTCACCCAAGCCATTCCTTGGGGAACTCAGTCAGGCCACCTGGTAGGACAGGAGGACTGAGCTTTGCTGAATGACATCAGCCGGACAGGCTCCCCTCTCAGTGGTTCCATTCCCCTCCCTCCCACCCTGAAACCCGATTCAGCTGAAGGATTGCTTGAGGAAAACTTGGCAGCTTCCCAACCCTGGTGGCCCAGGCAGTGCGAGGCTGCAGCCTCAGAGGTGCAGGGAGCAGCCTGGAGAGGAGAGGCAGGCTGGCTGGGACATGAGGCTGGCAGAGGGCAGATAGGCTGGCCCTGGGCTGGACTCACCCTGAACGCTGTCCACTCTGAGGCACCCACACCGTGGCAAGCTCACCATGCTGCAGTGGGTCCTGCAGGCGCTGCTGGCCTTGCTCCTGCCCATGTTCCTGACCCAGGGAGAAGGTAAGGTGGAGGTGGAAAATGCGCAGGACTTGACTGGCCGTCTACGGAGGGGCCGTAGGGGATGCTCGATTCCTCCCAGGGTTGAGGGAGTTGGGTTTGGAGTGTGTATGGCTGCAGGAAAGTCGGGGATCTGACCGCATATGAGCTTGCGAGCATTTTGAGGCACTGTGGTCCAGCTGGGAGGTTGAGGTTGAGCCGGGGTGAGAACAGGGCTTGCTGAGAGGGGTGTGGAGCAGCCTGTTGTGTGGGACACTCGTAGACAGGGACTGGAGCGGGGTCCTCTCCTCTTTGCCCTGCCCCCAAACTCACCAAAAGGCAGCTGCAAGGCCCCTTCTTGTTATCAATAGGAATGCTGTGGTCCAGAGAGGGGAATAATTTATTCCCCTCTTGTCAGCAGCATGGAGACTAAGCTAACATAGTGCTCTTTCCTCAGCCTCACCCGTTTCATTGCATGGGTTCTCTGGGCCTTTGTTTCCTGGAGTTTCCTTCAGGAGTTCAACTCCAATAACACCAAATCCCACTCTGCATTCCCGCCCATCTTTTTCCTGCCTCGCATGTGGATACAGGGTGCTTTAGTTGCAAAAGGATCCGTGTCCTTCTGCTGCAGACAATATTTATTCCCCGTTTGGGAAGATTTTCCCCTCTTCCAGAGCTGGGGCCAGGGTACAATTAAGCTGGACAGGGGCTGGGCGCGATGCTTTCCTCCCTGCGAGCTGTCTCTGCAGAAGTTCAGCAGGACGAGCAGGCCTGGCTGCAAGTGGTGACTGTGTTGTGCTTCCCTGGCTGAGGACGAGCTCTGTCGCTCCCAGAAATGGCCTTTGCTCTGGCCTGCGGGGCCCAGTCTGGTTCTCTCCGAACTGGTCCGAATCCCAGACAACAGGATCTGGGCTGTTGTTGCTGCTATAGCGAAGACACTCGGGGCTCTGGGTTTGAATCTCAGCTCCTCCACCTGCAGGGCCAGTGCTCACCTTTCTGGGCCTTGAGAATTCTTAGCTGTGAAACAGGCTATCACAACAGCCACCCCAATGGGCTATTCTAAGACTGAAGTGAGTACTAAGTTAACTGATGTCCTTCCAAAGGAAACACTCAGTGCATGCTCTCCTGCCTTTCCTCTCTCCTCGATTCTCTGTCCTGAGAGAAGCTGGGAAGTCTATCAGGGATAGAGGGCTGGGGAATCTGTAGGGGAGTGGGGGCAGGAAGGGGAACCGTAGGACCAATTTGCTGTACAGGTTGCACACATGATGGACAGGATGAGAGAAGAGGCCGTCTTCTTTAGAGAAAGCCAAGCTTGAGATCTGCTGTCTTCCTAACCCCATCAAATTGCCCCCAGAGCAACGCTGTGAAGGACTGGGCAAACCCTCCCCCAGGAGTTTGTTACACGGAGGTGGGTGGGTTTTGCAAGAGGGAGAGAAGATGTCAGTTTTCACTGGACACCCACCCTTCTTTCTTTGTCAGTTGCAGGCTGGGGTCAAGGAGACCATGAGCTATATGAACACTGAGATCTGACCTTGACTGAGGCAAACCCTCATGCAGGCCTCTGGGCTTAGAAATTGTGCACTTGGAGCCACTTTTTTTTGCACCTCTCTCACCTTCCAGTATCACACCCAGGGACAGCTCCCCTTTGTTTCCCCAGAGCCCCTCAACCAGGGCCCCACAAGCTGACCTCCTCTGGGCAGGTGTCTGCTCTCAACCTTCCTCCATCCTTGGCCTACTTCAGACCTCACCTGTCTTGTATCACCTTGTCTTACAACCCAGCTCCCTCTCTCCTGTAAATGAATGTGTAAGTTACCTTTATGAGATTATACCTTTGAATTTTGGCAGGAATCTCTGCAGACAAAATGGAAATTTCCACTTGTGGGGGTATCTGGAAGTTTTGTGAGGTGGGGATGGTGAGGACACTTTCCTTTTTTTATATATAATATATCTTTAATGATTTCAGAGGGAGGGAGAAGAAGGGAGAGGGAGAGAGATAGAAACATCAGTGATGAAAGAGTCATTGATTGGCGGCCTCCTGCATGTCACCTACTGGGGACCGAGCCCGAACCCGGGCATGTGCCCTGACTGGTAATCAAACCAAGATCTCTTGGATCATAGGTTGATGCTCAACCGCTGAGCCATGCCGGCCGGGTGAGGACACTTTCCTTTTGACAGCTTTCAACCCAGGGCTCAATGTCCATTTGGAACTGTTCTCCTTCCCAGCCAGGCGCAGAGGGGGCCCCCAGGCCCATAACACCTCTGGGCCCGCTCTGCGGAGGCTGTCGGATCACCTCCTGACCAACTACAAGAAGGGCGTGCGACCTGTGCGGGACTGGAGGAAGCCAACCACCGTCTCCATTGACGTCATCATCTACGCCATCCTCAGTGTGGTGAGCACTCAGCCTCAATATGCCCCCAACTCAGAGGTGGCAGATTGGGTGGGAGGCCATGTAAAACCAAGTCACCCCCTGGGCAACGTGGTGGACATTCAGGTACCCATAGTACCTGTGGTCTGGCACCACAGCTCAGGAGAGACTGTAGCACCCACCATCTGCAGAGCCGCCCAAGCCAGGAAACTGGGGTCACCTCTGTGGCTGCCCCTCCCACACTCCTGCAGTGAGCGAGTCATTCCCACAGGTGGTTCCTCACACACTGTATCATGGTACCACTTTCTGTGTGAGCTGTGTGAGGGATCAGACTGCCCAAGTCATCTCCATGCCCTGTGTCACACAGGTCCCTGGTACGTGGCAGGTGCTACTCGATGGTTGTTGAAGAGTTCATCACAAATCAATTAATTAATTGATTCCTTCATCAATGACAGTAGCAGGATGGGGAGCACTGCTTAGGACAGGAGGCCGGACACTGTGCAGAGATAAGCTAGAAGGCAACTTTGAGATTCAGACATTGGGGCATTGTGCTGGGTTAGGGGGGGCAGGAACTGACTTCAGTCTCCACCACAGTCCATGTAGCTGTTTTGGGGATGAGAAATTGGGAATTGGATAGGAGGAAGGGAGAGTGATGAATTTTTCACTGTACTTGGCTTTGTACCTCTTGACTTCATACTAGGACAGGCGATATATATGGATATATGGAGAGATATACATGATATTGTTATATATGCCTTGTATTAGCTCCTGTGTGTGTATATCATATATGTAAAGTATATATAGCATAATAGACATATAATATGCATGACACAATAGAAAATAATTGAAGGTATGTACACTTACATGTATATATGGTTTAAGAAATCACTGTATTTCTTTCTGGACCCATCCTAGTAAAAGACTGACTTTTCCTGGCTGACCCCTTCTCCTTGCCCCTTTTCTTCGCTCTCACTTCCCAAGGAAGTAGGGACACAGAGCGGCAGCACCTTCTGGGGTTCATGTGTGCAGGGCGGACCCCAGCCCACAGGGCCACCTATGCCCAGCTCCCTTTCCTTTCGCAGGACGAGAAGAACCAGGTGCTGACCACCTACATCTGGTACAGGCAGGTGAGCAGCCCCGCCCTTCACCCCCACCTCATTCCTGGGACGGGACCTGCCTTCCTGGAGGGGGTTCTCCGCCTCAAGGGGCAGGAACCTCAGGGGCCTTGGTGCAGGAAGGTGGGGGCAGGTTCATGGGCAGACTCAGCATGAGATGCAGAGGCCTGGGCTCCCCTAACTCAGGACCAGGAATGGCAGGAAACTGAAGGGTCAGGGGAGGAGAGAGCCCCGGAACCACTCTGGGCTCTGAAGTTCCCCACAGAACCCCAGCGAGCGCGTGTCCGACCCCTTGATCGAGCACCCGCAGTGGCTGGGAGCTCAGTGGCAGCTACTTCACTTTCAAACAGCTCCAATTGCTAGAAAGTCTTCTTTCTATTAAGATTGGACTACAACCAAGTCGGATGATTGAAACAAGATGAATCCATCCACTTAGGCTTCACACCCTCAGCCATTTCCCCATCCTTCCAGCTTCTGACTGGCATTGGTCAGGCACTGGTGTGTGGGTCAGGCACTGGTGTGTGGGGTCAGGCACTGGTGTGTGGGTCAGGCACTGGTGTGTGGGGTCAGGCACTGCTGTGTGGGGTCAGGCACTGGTGTGTGGGGTCAGGCACTGCTGTGTGAGGTCAGGCACTGGTGTGTGGGGTCAGGCACTGCTGTGTGAGGTCAGGCACTGCTGTGTGGAGTCTCCGAGGCCTCAGCAGCATTTCTGGCTTGGAGCTGGTGGGGGAGGGCAGGCAAACAAGGGAGGCTGCTGTCCTCAGGTGTGTCCTGCTCTGGTAGCTCCTGGGTGTGTGGGCAAGGTGTCAGAACAGAGGAGAAACCAACGTGACTAAAGTGGGGTCAGGGAGATGAGGACAGTTCATAGAGGTCAAACCTGAGACTCTGGGGACACTCTTGGCATACATGGGTCTCTATTAAATCTCTCCCACTCCTCATGGACACACTCCACCACAAGCAGACCCTGGGACAGGAACTGGGGGACAGGAAGTAGCCAAATCCTGATTCCTGACATAATGCTCCCTTTCTGCCTCAGAGAGATCCCACATGCAGAGCACACCCTCCTCAAGGGAAGGGGCCCAAGGAGGAATAGGCTTCCTGGAGATGGAGTAGGCAGGTGCCTCGGTTACGTCTAGAAGGATGGGTAAGACTCGCCTGGCTCAGGAACAGAGCTTGCCGTGTGGGAGAGGGAGCAGGGCACATGGAGATGCCGAGCTTCCAGCTGTGTTAATTCCAGGGGCTGGAGGGCAGGCTCCACAGAGAGGCATGGGGGGAACGAAAAACCGAGACTAGGAAGGTAGGAGGAGGCGGGCTGTGCAGGCCTTTGCTGACCACGAGGTTTAACTTCATCCTATTGCCAATGAGGCGCCACTGAAGCATTTGAATCAGGAGAGTGACCGGGTAGAATTTACATTTTATGTTTCTGTAAAAGTGAGATTATCCATTGTACTCTGTTTTATAACCTTTTCAGTGTGTGTTCTCTTTGTGTTTTTTTCTAGTGACTTGAAATAGTCTTATTTTAATCCAGTCATGCTTGCAATTAGTTCACATCATTTTGTCTAGTTATCAGTAATAATATAGTCTATTACCTTCTGAAGCACAGCGCCCGATATTTAGAATGCCAGTCCTCAGGGACCATTCCCACTGACCCATCTTTTTCCCATGTCTTCAAATAGCATGTGGAATGTTAAAATATGTATGTATTTTAGGTCAGTCATTCTGGCAGGATTGTGGAGAATGCATTGATCAAAACTCAACAGTAACCATCCCCACCCTGTGAGGAGCATGCTGTCATCCCCACTTACATATATACAGACCAAGACCCAAGAAGCTGTTGTTCGAGATCCTTCAGTTGGTGGCTAGGGGACTCAAAACATTAGAAATGACGGAGTGATTTCCCTGGGAGAGGCTGTGTCTGTGTCGAGTTTATACGTAGGGAGTGCGTGAGTACAGAGGTGGGGAGACTCAGGTACTGCTGAGTGATGTGGGTGCCACTGACACCCAGATTTCCCCAAGAAAATGCCCACCTGTCTCCTGGGCACCGAGTGGAGAAGTTGGCCTGACCTGGAGACGGCTCCACCCGCCCTGACCCGTCCTGTTCCTTCTCTAGTACTGGACAGATGAGTTTCTCCAGTGGAACCCTGAGGACTTCGACAACATCACCAAGCTGTCCATCCCCACGGACAGCATTTGGGTCCCGGACATTCTCATCAACGAGTTGTGAGTGCTGTCATAGGTGCCGGGTGGCCAGGTAGCTGCGGGCGGGGAAGGCAGGGAGGGGGCTGGGCAATAAGGCCACAGCTGCTGTGTTTGCAATGCCCCACCCAGACATGCAGAGCTGTGGGTAAGATTAGCTTGGGCCCACAGTCCTTGTTGTCTATTTCTTTTCTTTATAAAAGTCCTCTTTTCCTGTGCTTAATGTTGAAACTCTGAGCTTCTTGATCCAAGGGCCTCTTCCTGGGGAACGGAAGCCAGTGACTGAGTTTACACTGTTATAATAGCCAGACGACAGACAGCTGCATTTTTAAGGGACAATAAAGTTACTGAAAGGAATGAAGTGCTGGCCTCAAGGGGACTTGAAGCTGGGACACACACCTCTCAAGTCTCACGTGTGCCTGACCAGCCACAGGTTGCACCCTCAGCCTGAAGTGGGTCCCACTCGCTTTTACTCTCGGTAGCCAGACACTGTCTCTTTGGCCCCGGCCAACATTCCTTCCCCGCATCCTTCAGGTTCCTTTCAGCTCCAGTGCCTGGAGGCTGGTGCAGAGAAGATGGCGGGGGTAACAGGTGGAAGGAGAAGGGGAGGCAGTCACCCTCCACCCAGGACCCACTGCATGGCCCAGCTCCAGGAGTGCCACCCACAGTTTTTCATGAGAGGCAGTCGGCCTAGAGCCTTGTGCCCTGCATAGCTCAGGCTGGAGGGATTGGGGGAAATTCAAGTTTCTGGCTGAATCTGCAGTTTAAACCGTGAGGCAGCTGTAGTCCTGATTTCTCATCTCTCAGCCTCATTCCACAGAAGGCCACAGGCTCAGGACCCTGGGCTTAGACCACTGCATGCCACAGTGGTCACTTGGAAGACCCTGGGACCAGAGATCTGCTAAGATAGCAGAATGAAGTATTTTCTGCCTTGCCCCACCTCTTCTCAATGATCTTCTAGTTCCTTTTCCTCCAGCGATGATTCGCTGATTCGTCTCATTTCACAGAACTTCTAGCAGCAGGAAGCCAAGAGAGGCGCAAGTCAGGAAAGAGCCCACCAAGCCTGCCCATTGCCACCCAGCAGGTCATCCTGGGAGCTAAGCTCTGCCCCACCCAGTGGGTGGCAGTGTGGGGACAACTGGGCATGCTCCTTAGGGCCCGTGGCTTTTGGGGCCCATGGATCCTTGCCTGCCTTTCGTGGCTAGGCTGCCAGGGGAAGCAGGAGAAATGCCTTTATTCAGGAACACAGGGAATGTGGCCTCAACAATGGCAGGTGAGGAAGCCTAAGACAGACACGAAGGTTAGAAACACCGAGTCCAGACAGAACTGCCCTGCTTCCTAGACCCCTCTGAATTCCTCTCCCTGCTGGGTTGCTCAGAGGCCTTCAGACTCCCAGGGCTTGACCTGCTTCTTGAGCCCCAAACTGACGCCCCTTCCCTGGCCAGCGTGGACGTGGGGAAGTCTCCAGATATCCCGTACGTGTATGTCCGGCATCACGGCGAGGTCCAGAACTACAAGCCCCTGCAGGTGGTGACTGCCTGCAGCCTCGACATCTACAACTTCCCCTTCGACGTGCAGAACTGCTCCCTGACCTTCACCAGCTGGCTGCACACCAGTGAGTAGATGGGCTTGGACGCAGGGTGGAGGTTGGGGGCCAGCGACACTTGAGTGAGGAGCACACACATCCTGGGTGCAGTCTCCCTTATCCAACTTACTTACCGTTTATTTCCTTAATGCCGCTGAGCCTGTTTCCTTATCTTCCAAGTATGATTAATCTGGTTGCCCTGAGCCTCCCTCAGTCATCATACCGACTGACAGACAGTATAAACTGACTGCAGGCACTCAGTAGGGTCAGTTCTCTCCCAATATCACTAACAGGAGCTGGCACTCGATGTCTCAAAGCCACCACCTCTCCTCTCCACTGATGCACCCTCCCCCTAATCCAAGCCACCCTGATCTGCCCAGGTTTCTGCAGTAGCCTCCTAGCCGGTCCCCCTCCTTCACTCCTGTCCCCCTCCAATTCATGCTCCTCACAGCAAACAGAGATCTTATTAAAATGAAAATCTGCTTAAACCCCTCAGTGGCTTCCCAGCACTCCTGGGACAGAATCCAAATCCTTCACCTGGCCCATAGGGCCCTGCAGTCTGGCCGGCCCACAGCCCATTCCGCCAGCCTCGCCTCCTGCACAGCCCCTGAGATCTGCTCCAGAGCAGCTGCCTCCTTCCCAGGCCCCACCGTGGCCGTCCTTCCCCCTGTCACATGCTGCGCCCTCTCCTAGGCCACCTTGCCCTCCCCTCCTTCCTCTCCTGCTTCCCTTCTTGTCTCACTCCTGCCCCCAACCACAGCTGGGTTGGCCGACTCCTCTGCTCACCTTCGAATCACAGCCTCAGTGTCGATTCGTTGGGGAACCCCCGTCAGCCTCCAGGCTCGGCACCCCCAATACCCAAATGTGCAGCTTCCTGTTCGTCTTCCCGCTTCTACTGCATTTGCAGGCACTTGTCCACTGCGTGCTCCTGTACCAGGTATAAACTAGGAGGGGGCAGGGGCATGACTTCTGTCCCACCCTTAGGTGCCCAGCACAGTGCCCAGCACAGTGCCCGCACAGAGAAAGGTGCTGACAAACTTACAGTGAGTAGTGAACGCCAGGTGCTCACTGAGGCCTAGGGACGTGAGTGTCCCTCGACTGCAAAAAGGCATCCTCCACTTCCATTCTGATTGCAATTCTGTAAATTACAAAGCAGCCCATAACTCCCTCGACAAAATCCCAGAATTGCAAATCATCTTTGACCTTTCACCCTCATTCCCAAACTCTTCAGCTCCCCAGGACTTACCGACTTTCAGCAGTACAAGCTCCACGTAGTGTGTTCTTCCAGGTCCTTCTCTCTCCTTTGCATGTATACACATACATGCACAGCTATGGACTGTACATGGAAATTACAGGGTTTTTACATAAGTGTATCACTGATGCTACTGCTACTTGATTCTTTACTCAGCAACAGGTCTGGGACATGTTCCAAGTTAGGGCCTCTGTAGACCTCCCTCCTCATTTCTGAAGGCTGTAGACACCGTGGTCGGATCATCAGAGTTAAGCATTTTCCCGATTGATGGGCGTCTCGGTCTTTCCCACCATTGGCTGCAGTGGACACTCCTGTCCTCTAGTGCACATGTATGTTTTTCCTTGGCACAGACACAGAGAAGCTGAACACTTGCTCTGTACATGGGGGGTTTTCTTGTTTCCTAGTTCAGGCAGCTCTCCTCCGGCGAAGGTGAAGAGTATTGACTTTTGTTCATTTCCTGGGTGGGTAGTTCCAACAGGAGAACCTAGGAAGGTGTGTGAAGGGGGAGGGGAGCTTCCTAATAAAAGGTTTGTTTGGCTCTTTGCATTTTGCCGTGTGTTTCGCTCAGTACTTCATTCGCCTCACTCCAGCCCACTGTACAGACAGGCACAGTGTGCACAGTTGCCTCGTTGTATAGCTGAGGAAACTGAGGCTGGAGCCGAGGAGCCGAATCCAGCGAAGTCCTGTGGCGCGGCCACCCTGCCCCGCCGCCGCGGGGTCTGTGTGCTCCTGGCATGCACCCCAGCGCTGGCTGGCTTTCTCCCCCCAACCCCAGTCCAGGACATCAACATCTCCCTGTGGCGCCTGCCGGAGAAGGTGAAATTTGACAAGAGCGTCTTCATGAACCAGGGCGAGTGGGAGCTCCTGGGGGTGCTGACCCAGTTTCGGGAGTTCAGTATGGAAAGCAGCAGCTGCTACGCAGAAATGAAGTTCTACGTGAGTGGACAGGGAGCGGGTGTGGGCAAAGGGCGAATAGACCACTAGGCCGTCACACCAGGTACACTGAGGAGACACGGGAAAGAGCCACCATGGCCCTTGCCCATCTCCAGGGTCACACTCATATTCCGGAACTTCAGGAGCTAGTTGGGGCAACAGCTGAGCTGTCCCTCACTTGTCACGAACAACCACAGCCTGGGTCCAGAGGCAGGACGTGGCGTCTGTCCGTGTCCTCTGGGCAATCCAGGCTGCAAGCTCTACCACACGAGGGGGGCGAGAACGGGGTGGCGGTTCCTGGGCACAGGGCCTCCCCCAGAGCTCCTCTCCTGCCCCAGGTGGTCATCCGCCGGCGGCCCCTGTTCTATGCGGTCAGCCTACTGCTGCCCAGTATCTTCCTCATGGTCATGGACATTGTGGGCTTCTACCTGCCCCCGGAGAGTGGCGAGAGGGTCTCCTTCAAGATCACACTCCTCCTGGGCTACTCCGTCTTCCTGATCATTGTGTCCGACACGCTGCCGGCCACCGCCATCGGCACCCCCCTCATTGGTAAGACCCGCTCCTGGGGAGAGCTCGGTGTGGCCAAGGAACCAGGAGCGGACCCCCACTTCCTCTGTGTCCCTCCCCCCGCCCCGGTGCACAGGGGTCTACTTTGTCGTGTGCATGGCGCTGCTGGTGATCAGCTTGGCCGAGACCATCCTCATCGTGCGGCTGGTGCACAAGCAAGACCTGCAGAGGCCCGTGCCCGCCTGGCTGCGGAGCCTGGTTCTTGAGAGGGTCTCCCTGCTGCTGTGCCTGGGGGAGCAGCCAACTTCCCGTCGGCGCCCAGCTGCCCCCCAAGCCCCCAAGACTGACGATTGCTCAGGTGAGAGGGAAAGGGGGAGTCCATATGAAGGGGCCCCTCCTGGCCTGGAGGCAGGGGTGCGGTGGCGAGTCTCTGGAGGATGCACCATGCTAGAGAGCCTGTGCAGGGCCTGAGAACTGGGCACAAGTTCACTGGGAGGGGGCAGCCCAAGTGTCCATCTTTCTGCACCTGCACGTGCTCCCATCAGCTTGGGTGTGGACAGAGAGGGGGTAGGAGTCCCAGAGGCTGAGCATTTCAGGAGCTGAGACCTCTGGGCTGAGGGTGGCTTCTCTCTGAGATGGACCCCAAACTGGGCCAAGAGATGCCCCTCAGGCAGTTATCTGACTCCTTGTCACACTTGGTTAACTACTGCAGCCAGAATTTCTACAACTTTGAATCAGCTCAAAGACCAGGTCCCTTGGAATTTTTTTTTAATATATCTTTATTGATTTCAGAGAGGGGGAGAGAGAGAGAGACAGAAACATCAGTGATGAGAGAGTCATTGGTCGGCTGCCTCCTGCACGCCCCAGACTGGGGATCGAGCCCACAACCCGGGCATGTGCCCTGACTGGGAATCGAACCCCGATCGCCTGGATCCTGGGTTGACGCTCAACCACTGTGCCACGCCCAGCTGGGCTCCCTTGGAATTTTAAATACCTATGAGGCAGAAAGACAGGAGTGCAGAGGGACACTAAGTGTGGAGCTCGTAGCTGCTGTGGAGTTGTTACAGCCACCATTTGCTGGTGGTCGTGATGGGTGGTTTGTTGGTTTACATCTTGAGCATTTTGGGCCAGGCCCGTGCAAAGTATTTTCTGTGCATATCACTGGTAATACTGGTGGTGACCCAATAGGATTCACATCCTCATTTTTCAAATGAGAAAACAGGGGTACAGAGGGGCCAAGTAGCTTGCCTTAAGTCACAGAGCGAGTAGCTGGTAAAGTGTGATTTTAAATGAGGCCCATCTGACTCTAAGCAGGTGTTTTTAATCACTGCACCCCCTCCACTGCTCTGTCCTCCCTCTGGCTAGGGCCACGCCTTTTACAGAAGATACTTCATTAACCTAAGACCATCTCAACCTGAGCTAATGAGCTAAAGCAGCAATTTTCAACCTTTTTCATCTCATGCCACATATAAATTAATCACTAAAATTCTGTGGGGACAGCAAAAAAACACCAAAAAAAAATTACATTTTTCCCCAATCTGACAAAAAAATAGGTATAATTTTGATTCACACTGAACAGCTATTGTTGTGTTGGCTGTTGTCATTCTTTTATTTGACAATCTAAGGGAAAAGAGGTCAGTGCCCCTGACTAAATAGTCAGGTATTGCATGTTTGAAAAATTCTTGTGGCACAGCAGTTGAAAATCACTGAGCTAGAGCATCAGCCTAATGCCTAATTTCGCTGCCACCAGGCGAAGGCAGCCATACCTGCAGGTGTGTTTTCTGGTGCAGAAGGACTCAGAGCCATGGAGAGGGCAATATGACCCAGGGGAGAGAGCAGTGGACTGACTCAGAGTCCAGATGTCTAGGCCTTGGTGGCCTCACTATTAAATGACACTCCAGCTGTGTGACCACAGGCTACTCACTTAACCTCTCTGAGCTTTAGCACCTTCATACAAAAACTGTGGATAATAATGAATCCTGCTCTGCTCTTTCATGGAGCTGTTGTGAAGCTCAACTGAAATAACGAATATCAAATTGCTGGGGAAAGCCCATGAGTTAAAAAGAAGTGCCTGGGAAGGGTCAACACCAGATTTGTGATGTCAGTGACTTGGGGAAGGGACAGAGGATGTGACTAAGAATGGGTACGTAGGAATATTCAACGGTACTGGACTTCTTAATTTGCTTAAGTTGGATGGTGGGTACACAAATATGTAAGTTATTCTAGATACTCTTTCTGTCTAAAATTTTTCACAATAAAAATTTCTGCAGGCCAAAAAACCATAAGGGACAGTGTCCAGGCCATATGGCTGGGCCTCCCTCCCTTGACAATGCTTTGCCCCTACTTCTAGACATGGGAAACCACTGCGGCCACTTGGGAGGACCCAGGGACTTGGACAAGACCCTGAGGGGCAGAGGCAGCCCGCCCCCGCCGCCTCGGGAGGCCTCCCTGGCCGTGCGGGGGCTGCTGCAGGAGCTGGCCTCCATCAGGCACCTCCTGGAGAAGCGCGAGGACAGCCGGGAGGTGGCCCGGGACTGGCTGCGCGTGGGCTCCGTGCTGGACAGGCTGCTCTTCCGCATCTACCTGCTGGCGGTGCTGGCCTACAGCGTCACCCTGGTCACGCTCTGGTCCATCTGGCAGTACTCCTGACGAGCACAGCCCAGCAGGGGGAAGGTCCTGGTTAGGATGGGGGGGGGATTTCAGGGCCCAGGGGATGCTAGGGGTGTTCTCAAGACACAGACACAGTCCCACCCCTGTTTCCAATGCCAGTTTACCCCAGTAATCCCGGAACAGGGCCCTAACTTGTCCCCCCAAAACTTGGTGTTCGAGACCCTTACATCCTGCCCTGCCCTCACATGCCCACGATTGCTTTAAAACATGTTGTCTTAGGTCAGAAGAAACCCATGCATCTCCCAACTCCACTCTATATATCTATGCATTAAGCCTGTTTCCCCATTGGCACCTCCCTAAGGAAGGCACTTTGGAATTCTGCTCATTTCCCTCAGCCTTGTTTTGAGGCTGAAGGCCAACCAACTCTCCACTCCACAGGCCTGACAACTGCATTGGGTTTACCCAACACTAGGGTCTCCTTCACTCACCTGTGACCACTTCCCTGAGCATCGTGTTTCATCAGATGGTGGGGGTGGGGTAATAAAAGGCGAGAAATCCATAACCTCTCTTCTCGACCATTTGTCAGGAGCTGGGTGGGTGGATGAAGAGGTTTGAAGTTACTGGTGAAAATGAGGTTGGAGAATTATCTGCAGTTTCGGTTGTTTGGTGCTTCCTGCCCCCAAGGAATTGGGTGGTGACCCAAACAGAGGCTGTTCCGAAGACACGCTAGAAGGTGTGATTTAAAGTGGGAAGGTCAGGACCACGAACACTTAGCAGTGGAGAGGTGGGGCGGGGGACTCAGTTCTGTGATCTCTGGAAGATGCTGGAAGGATCCACAGTCCTCCCTGTGTGAGGATCCTACAGCTGAGATAAGAACATCAGCACCACGGCCAGCACCAGCTGGTTTGGGGTTTGAAAGACAGAAAGCTCAAGTTTGAGTTTTTGTTGTTTTCTAATCCCCTCTGGGAACTCTCAGCAGCCAGCCCCTGGCACCTCCCCCAGCAAGCAGGACCACGAGGGAGGCCTGAGGCAGAGGCAGGGGCATGGCCTTTGATCTGACTGCTTACTTCTGGCTCCCCTCCCACACACTAGAGTGTAAGACATGCTGAGCAGCACCCCAGCTGTCACCCCATCCACCTAACAGGCATTCAGAGGAGAGGGGTGCCAGACCCACCGAGAGCAATCACCGTAGTGTCCTCCACGTTTGCCTGAGGCTTGCTCTGTTTCCGCCTTTCGCATTCCAGCAGCACCCCTCCCCTGTGTCAGAGGACGACATGTGGACAGGGACTGAGCATACCAGGCTAAAGGGAAAGGGCCTCAAAGGCATATCTGGAATGACTTGTTCCTGGCTGGCCAATTAGAAGAGATTTAGTATGAAACACCTAAAGCTATACCTTCCCTTGACCCAAACTCTGCAGTTCTAGTTAGCAGACCATCCTGGGCAGAACTTTGGGCCCTTGGGGCCTCATGTCTGAAAGAGCCTAGAGCCTCGAGGCTGAGGAAGGAGGCTTGTCTGGTTCAGTTTCTCTCCCCAGGTCCCCAGCATGCAGCAAGAACTCCCGTAAGGAGAACTGCCACCAGAGTTCATCTGTTATTTCCACCCAGACATATGTGCTTTGGCATTAGCTAAGGATTTTATATTTATCTTTGTTTTGTCAGTGGGTGGGTATCAGGGTCTCCCAGCAAAAGGCAGGAGATTGTGGGGCTGGAGAGAAGCCCCACTTCACAATTGTTGCTTCATGCTGAGTAGAGATTGCTGATCCTGATGATCTCAGGATGGTCCCTGCAGCAATACTTTGGAGCCTGGTCTTGGGATGAAAAGCTGTCCCACTGCCTTGGGCTTGCTGGGCCACTCATGCTACTTGATGATTCTCAGGTCTCAGGCCTAAGGGAGAAAGTTGGACAATCTGGCCCTGTCGCTGCTCCACTGGTCAGGTCAGTAACTGGGTGGCTATCGACAAAGTGTCCAACCAGAGAGCTGGTAAGACACTAATCAACCTATTGATTCCTCGTCTCCCCCTCCCCATCCTTCGCCCACAATCGTTGGGGCAAAGAGTCCAGCACTGTGGCAGCCAATTAACCACCTCGGGAATGAGCTGCCATGTGTAACATCTTCTGCTCCACTAGCCACAGCCAATCAGCTCACTGATCCACATCCAGGCTGTACTGCCTGGGGATGGGAAACTGAGGCCAGGGCCAGGGAACCCCCAGTGTACTAACTCTCATCATCAGTATTGACCTTGGACTCCTCCCACAGAGACCTTTACCCTTTCTGGGACATGGAAAGGTCCAGAATCTCCCTCCCAACGGTTATATTTCCCAGATCTGCTTCCTTCCTTCCTCCTGAGAAGCTTGTCGGTTCTCTATCTCATCTCTCCTTTCTATTCACCTATGAAGACTCCCAGGTTCTCAGCTCCCTCTCCCATCTACCCGCTTTCCAAAACCTGTAGCTTCTGCTCCAAAGATCCCGTCAAAGGTCTCGAGAGTGCCGGCCTCCGCAGCGCTCCAGGCTGTGGGGCCCGAGCCCACATCCCAGGAGGCCGCCCTTCTGCGCTCGGTGACCTCAGGGCCCGTGGCAGGAGTGTAGCCGAGCTCGGAGTCGGGAGATGGGCTTCCGGGAGATTTCCCCGAGAGAACAGGGGGGCAAGCTGCCTGGAGGGGGGGGAAGCATGTGGAGAGGTGTTTCAGCATTCCCCAGCCAGTTTCCCTCCCTCCCCCATCTCCCTCCAGCCTCCAAATCAATACATTTGGAATCTAATCTAATAACAGAGATTTAACGAGGGGATAATGTGTGTGCAGCGGCCAGGAGCTTTGTCTCTTCTTTCAAGCGGCAGCTGGGGCCCATTATCCGGGGACAATGCCCCATGCTAATCACTCCTCTCTCCTCCGAGTGTTGGGGGAAGGGTGGTGGGTGAGAGAGGGCAGCTCCTCCCCGGATTGGAGGGCAGTGGAGGGGGGAAGAAGTTGAGTAGGGTCCGGACGGGCCCCACACAATTGTCTTGACCGGACACCAACCCCCTGGCCTTCTCCCCCAGCCCACGCTGTCCACCCCGGCAGGCAGGAAAGGGAGCCAAGAGTGCTCGCAGACAGCAGATAATTGCCTATCAGCTGCAGCACCAGGGGCTGGGAGCTGGGTGGGTTTGTTGCTTTTTTCTTTCCTCTAACTTGGTCCTCTATAATTTAAGCTCTCCCATTAAGGCCCGTGATTGGCCAGCCCTGACTGGCATGGTTAGAGAATTAAACCCTGGTTTTAGAGACCATGAATACCCCTCTCTGGAACAGAAGCCTGCTTCCACATCCTCTCTCTCTTCTATCTGGGACCTGACCAAAAATAAAAAATAAAAAAAAATTCTGAGCTGTTCTAAATTACAATCCCAGCGGCCAGAGTGAGAGAAAGAGACGGAGCTCAGCCTGCTCACCGCTAGGGGCCAGCTCTGACAAAAGGCCGCTCACACTCCTCAGCGGACGCTGGAACTGCGGATAAATCTCCAGGTGGCTATTTCCAGGATTATTCTAAAGAGAGACTAGCCAGGCACCCCCCGGCCCGGGAGCCTCTGCCTCCGACTCACACGTGAACTCTCCGGACTTGCCTCCACCTACCCAAGAGCACACCCTCTCCCTTGGCCTCTGCGCTGGCCCAGAGCTGCCGCGGCAGCTTCCTCCGTCCCCTTTCCTGCACCGATGCCAGTCCTTTCAGAAAGGCTTGTCTCTCTCCCTCTACTTGATGTATAAACACGCAAAACTCCGGGCGATGTACCCACCTTTCCTACCTGGCCGAGCTGCTGGCGACACGGACTCCATGCCCCGGGACCCACTGGCGGCGGGAAAGTCGCCTTTGCCACCTCCCCCTGCCTCTCCTCCACTGCCACATCCTTTTGCTAGCAGTGGCCTAATAAGCCTTTCTTTTAAAAAGATTTTCGGCCTTGAAAGTTCAAAATTTTGTTTAACAGGCTTCATAAATGGACTCGGCCTGCAGGAGACGTGGAGGTTAGACTGTAGGAAGAACTTCCTGGTACTCACGTTCCTAACGTGCTTAGATTGCGACTCTGAAAGGGCAGGAGCGGGACCTCATCTCCCAGAAGCCTTTACAGGGAGGCCTTGTTTAGGCTGGGAAGGGGCGGACCAGCTGGAGAGCCGACTTGCCCCAATTCCCACTATCAGACGGGGACTGGGAGGGCTCCCGGGGCTGGGAGCCCTGATGTTTGGCCACTCTCACTCCTTTGTGCAACACGTTTATTGGGGGCCACATAAGAGTGAACCATCCAACACTTGGGCTTTTGTCTCATCACCTGCCAGCTCTGAAACCCTGGGGGAGCGCTAAGTACTCTATGCCTTACGCTTCTCACCTGACAAAGGGCTATCACGTCAGTCCCTGGCTCACGGGTGTGGCGTGTGGCGGGCATCCTGCTCCCAGTTGGGGCAGAAGCCCAGGGAATCAGAGGCCGGGGCAGATGTCTAGCGGCTGTCGCCTGCCCTCCGTCTGCTCACGTCGCCTTCCGACCGGGTGAGAGCCTGTCCCGGGGAGAGTGGGGGAGAGGCCTTTATCCTTGCTGACTCCATTTCAGGTATGAGCAGGGCAAAGTGAACCAGTCATTCACCGTAAGGCTAGTGGGGGCTAAAGCTCCTGTCCCCGCCAGGCTGGACTCAGTCAGACCTCTGCGTCCCATGCCTGCCTGTCACTTTTTCTCCCATCACTGCCCCTCCCCGCCC